TATTATGAATTATTAAAGTTACTGGTTAAAGTAGTTATTAAATACATAAGTATTTTTAACATTTAAAAAAAATACAGATACATTTAATAATTATTTGATTCTGGTGTGTGTACACAACTAGTTTTGATTAGCAATTGGGCTGGTTTTCATATGCAGACCTGGCAACCCTACTAGTAAGTGACACATACAGTAAGTGTTCTCTCAACCACTAGATTGAACAAAAACTCAAAGATAAATAAATAAATAAAACAAATACATAACAAATAATAATATAAATAAAAGAAGATATTACAGATTCTCTTTTGTTTTGATAGTTATATATTAGAATGTGTGATTTTTGTTTCAAGAGAGGAATATGTTGATTCTTCCATCTTGCAACTGGTTGCTGCTTTAAAAAGTGTTATGAATTTGATCTGCATAACTAAACATTCTGTATTGTCGTTGTTGTAAATCATATAAGGATGAAATAAACAGTTGTTCATTTTGTTATCATTAAATAGATTCCTGATTTTCAGTTTTGAAAACATAAATAAAATAGAAAACATCCTATTTTATTGTAAGTATTGAATCATAGAAGCAACCAAAAAAAACAACTTTTTTTTTCAACAGGATAACTTATTCTTTATTGAATTTTTCCTTCATGGATTCCATAGAACAATACAACAAAATTTCTGGATAATTTTGGTGATTGAGTTTTCAGCATGGTCATAACCATTTTCATCAATATCTTCATAAACGCTAAGAATATATCATACACATTAAATACAGCACAACCCAAAGGCATCGAGAGTTTCACAAGACATATCAAACACCACTAACAACGGAGAAGTTGAGTAGCATATTCATTTGGAGGAGGAGAAGAGTGGGCCAGAGCAGAGAATGGAAGAGAAAGAGAGAGAATGAGGGAGGGAGGGAGAGACACGCTAATACATTTAGCAGGCCGACGGCCTTCTACCCAAAAGCGAAACCTGGTCGCAGGCAAATTAAAGAATCCAAAAAAATAAATTTAAATAGATAGTTATAAGTCTTGGCAAGCTTGCATTATGAGCATTTGATCATGCAATAATATAAAGGATCTCATCATAACAACGTCTGCTGCATCAGCCCTAAATGAAACGATGATCAACCCAGGGCAAAAACTAATCTGGTGCATTTACTAGATTAATAAGATGTTTACTCAACATCCTTGCATCTGAAAGTGCTAGACTTTAATATATATTGTTTGAATACTATACAAAACAATAACTTTAAAGACTTTATTGCATCAGTTACCTGCCATAAATGCGGTTCAAATGATATTTCATAGATAATTTAAATGACCCCCTTGATTCCGGCCGAGAGGTCAAGCTATCATATACACCAGATATTTTTGATCATCTGCATTTTGAATGATTGATCAAGCAGAAAAATAATCTAAACTGGCATTCGGGTGATGCTTTGATGCCAATCATGGAACTTTCACACTACAGCAGTTCTTGATATTCGTTAAAGAATGTGCAGGTACTTTATATATATTTTTATATTTACATCTGAAAATATACCTCAATATCACAGGCTTAAATCCTGTAATATTGTATATGCTTTTGAGAGAGGGAAACAAGAAAATATCGATGAAATTGAAACTGGCACGTATATCTACATTACTGACATCTCCACACACAGGATTGATTCTCTCTGTCCGGTGCTCACAAAACACAAACAAAACCCCAGTCAATATATATTCATATATCTATTTTTAGCATCCTCTAACTTAAACAGCACTACATCAACACAGCACTCGGAGGCATTGTGTCATGAACAACCATGCTATTTCTGCACTGAGAACGCATGTGCTTTTCAAAAGACAAAGATTTGAGAGAGAGAGAGAACTAAACAAAGTCAACATTTTCAGTCAGGAAATGTGAAATGCTTTAAGATACACTAGACCGTTTTGCTTGCTGGTTGAAATAATGTGGTCCCTCCATGAGTTTGGGAATGATTCTGCCCACGGTAGCCTTTGATGCCCCCCACCACCTCAGTCTCAGTCACATCAGTGCTCCATCCCACCCATGAAGAAATAAAAACCAACAAAATACCAAACAAAAGAGGTCAACATAGAAATGGAACAAACTCTACCAAACCACGACCAACCAGAGGCAAACATTTCCAAGGAACAAATTATGTGGGGCTTTGTGAAATTTTTTCACATTATTATCATTATTATTATATTTATTTAGGGTCTCTAAATTTGACTAGACTACAGTGGAATAATCCCATTCATATCTTTAGGAAATATTTATATATGTATATATATTCATTTATAATGATATCTATACAGCACAGACAAATACATTCTCTCAAGTTTAGCATTACTATTGTCAACATCATTAATTCAAAATTCATATAGCAATAGGATTCATATGCTTTTCATAGTTTGGTACAGTATTCAAGTGTTTTGAAATTTGATCAAACTTTTTTTATTTGTATACATCACAATAATAAACAGCACATTAAAATCCCTCCTCTCTATCCCCCTCCCATCTATATGTGATTTGAGATTAGACCCTGTCCCCTTCCCTCCCTCCCGCCCCTCTTATCTTTCACAGACTTAAGCACAGACGCACAAACAGGGAGAAGTGTGGGGTTGTGGGTAGGGTTCAGGCATGAAATGGTGCTTGGTCAATATTAAACAAATATTAGATCGCACAGCAATGTGTAAAAATAATCGCCAGGCCGTTAGCGCCCTCTGCAGGCCTTTGTTGTAATGCGTAATGTACATTAGCTCTATTGTTTATAATACATTGTGTTTTAGCAATTTTGTTCAATAAAACCATATGATTTCTTGCTTTTAATACTTTATTTGAACTAATTATTATTGTCTCATTGCTATTATATATGTATTTTAAGTAATTTTAAAGGCTATTGTTCACTTACATCTATTTTTATTACCACAAAAAAATGTATTGTAATTATAAGGCACTATGAAATCCGTTTTATTTTCAAATTCAGTTTTTTTCCATTTTCATTTTTCTATACTCTGTTTTAATGGTTAAATTAAATTTTATTAACACAACATTATAATATACGGTATAAAAAAGGAGTATTTAATTTTAAGTAGGGCTGTCGCGATTCGTCGATTTTATTCGACTATTCGATTTTTAAAAATCCTCGACTTCATTTTGCTCGCGTCGACTAACCGGCAACAGTGGCTATAGCATTTCTGTCCTATAGAAATGGCCAAATATTAAAGATTAAGTGGACATTTGAATGAAATGGTGCTTGGTCAATATTAAACAAATATTAGATCGGGAAGCAATGTGTAAAAACAATCGTCAGGCCGTTGGCGATTTCTTGCTTTTAATACTTTATTTGAACTAATTATTATTGTCTCATTGCTATTATATATGTATTTTAAGTAATTTTAAAGGCTATTGTTCACTTACATCTATTTTTATTACCACAAAAAAAATTTATTATAATTATAGGGCCCTATGAAATCAGATTTATTTCCAAATTCATTTTTTTTCCATTTTCATTTTTCTATACTCTGTTTTAATGGTTAAATAAAATTTGATTCATCATAAAGCCTGTCTAATTAATTGAGTTTTACAGTTTCATCTTTACCAAATTCTGTTTTCCATTATTTTCTGGATTCCATTTTAATGGTTCCATTAAATTTTAATAATCAAAAGCATTTCCAATTAAATTTTTTTTTTTTTTTTTTCTTTTTTTTTTTCAGAAATACTGCACATTTAAATTTTTCTCCTAAATAAATTGTGGAAAATAACATTTCTGGTAAATACTAGAGCCCGACCGATATGGTTTTTTTGGGCCCGATAATTTTTTTTTTTTTCTTTTCTTTTTTTTTTTCAGAAATACTGCACATTTACATTTTTCTCCGAAATAAATTCTGGTAAATAACATTTCTGGTAAATACTCCTTTAAAAAGTGTTATTTTGATATTATTATTAGTAGACTAGAACACGTGGATATGTTGTCATTCTTACACTATAATACTGAACTTTGATTTCAGTAATTTGGACTATGAGATGGACACTTGCTTCTTGCACTCTATGTTGCACTTTACTTTTGCTTTAAATTTTGGATTTCATTTGGTTTAATAAAATATAGTTTAATACACTGAACAAAATTATAAACGCAACACTTTTGTTTTTGCCCCCATTTTTCATGAGCTGAACTCAAAGATCTAAGACTTTTTCTATGTACACAAAAGGCCTATTTCTCTCAAATATTGTTCACAAATCTGTCTAAATCTAAATCTGTCTAAAAACGAACACAGGTGCATTTTATTGATGGCATTTTGAATGCACAGAGATACCGTGACGAGATCCTGAGGCCCATTGTTGTGCCATTCATCCACGACCATCACCTCATGTTGCAGCATGATAATGGACGGCCCCATGTTGCAAGGATCTGTACACAATTCCTGGAAGCTGAAAACATCCCAGTCCTTGCATGGCCAGCATACTCACCGGACATGTCACCCATTGAGCATGTTTAGGATGCTCTGGATCGGCGTATACGACAGCGTGTTCCAGTTCCTGCCATTAATCAAAATAAAAATAGTCGTTAGTGGCAGCCCTAATTTTAATTTTAAATTACATTTAACAGTTAAACAAATTTTTGTTTTTAAAGATTATCTTTAGGTGAGCTAAAAGGACTCTTAAAGCAAAAAAAAAAAAAA